CCTCAAGCACTGTTCGTCTTGCCACAGACCACGGTTTGTGATTCTGGTTTTAAATGGCTTTTCAGTTTCCCATCAGGCAGAGGGTCTTAAGTGCTCCCCTAGGGTTGGACAGCCAGGTTGCTGTTTACAGTCCCTTCATTACAGATGATATGACCTGACCCAACGGCTCTTGACAACACTGTGATGATGAAAATCTTTTGTGCTCCATGTACTGCATCTTGTAGTGAAATAGTTAAGGACTTATGGAGCTTACAGAGATATGGATTCCTCCTTTACAAAAAGTCAAGTATTTCCAAAATGTTCTCTGGTGACAAGTGACTGCCAATTGTAGGCCCCTAGAAGAAGATATTAGAAAAAAAAAATCAACACACTTAATCATCCATCACGGTAAACGTGACACTTGAACAAAGGAGGAAAGACTAACTGCATTCCAAAAAACTTGTCTATGGAGAGAACATTTTGAATACAGATGTTTTTAATTGTTTCCATTGTTATGTGACTTCTATTGCGCAAAAAGATGTGTGTTGCTTATTGAAATCTCTAATATCTGCACCCTTAACCTGGGAACAGTGTTTTTAAATCTGTTTTAAAATCATTGAAAGGAAAGTTTCTGTGGATTTTGAACTGGGTTATTAATATGAACATGCAATAATACCTTCTGATTAGTTGCAGGGGCCAGTATTTGACCCTGGGGGAAGTGGAGCATCACTGGCAAAATGTTCTCACAATCTTGTGTGTCACTAGTGGATAGAAGTGGAACGTGTCTCCTGTTTGGCCAGAGTGAACACCTTCCATCCAGGACCACGCGTCTCTAGGAAGAACTTTGATTGGCTTTGACCGAGTTCAGTGGGTAAACCAAACCTACGACCAGACTACTTTCTTTCTTTCTTTTTTTTTTTTCCTGATTACCTGAGCGCAGGGGTTCAAGACCAGTCCTGACAACCTGGTTGAGACCTCACCTCTATAATAAATTAAGAAAAATTAGCTGGCCGTGGTGGTGCATGCCCGTATTTCTGTTTAGCTTCTTAGAAGGCTGAGGTGGAAGGATCACCTGAGCCCAGCAGTTCGAGGCGGTTGTGACCATGAACATGCCACTGCACTCAGCCTGGGCACAGAGTGAGACTCTGACTCAAAAAAAATAAATAAATAAAACAAAAAAAGACCAGACTACTTTCAAATCACTGAATCACAAGTAGTTCCCTAAGTTAAAAAAAAAAATGGAAGTATATCAACCCTGTTGCTGTCACTAAAAATATTATAACTCATATGATTTTTAATTATTTCAAGGAAATTCATTGATCCTCTTAATAAATGGCTTATTAAAATATATTTTTTAAATGGGTTATTTTAGCCTTGTCTCATCCTTGTCCAAAAATAAAATGTTTTATTTTTGGGTATCTTAAAAATGTTCAGCCGGGTGCAGTGGCTGACATCTGTAATCCCAGCACTTTGGAGGGCGGAGCTGAGAGGATTGCCTGAGCCCACGGGTTCGAGACCAACCTGGGCAACGTGGTGAGATCTTGTCTGTACAATAAATCAGAAATTAGCTGGGTGTGGTGGCACACATCTGTAGTTCTAGCTACTTGGAAGGCTGAGATGGAAGGATCGCCTGAGCCCAGCAGATCAAGGCTGCAGTGGCCGTGAGCAGTGTGCCACCACACTCTAGCCTGGGTGACAGAGTGAGACTCTGACTCAAAAAAAACAAATGTTCATAATAGAAGTATAGAAGCACATGATATAACTTACAACAAACATCCATATGTTGGTGTTATGTGCCTACTGGATTTTCTTTGGTGGGTGCACTGCCAGGTTTGTTTGGAGACCGTTTACTTAGGCAGATTGGCTCCAGGGAGTCTCCTGCTGTACGTAACTCATGAGTACCAATTGGTGATTTCACTCGCTTACCTGGTGAGCTGGTGGAACACTTAGCTATGTGTGTGGGGGTCACTGAACACAAAGGGTGACCTGAATGAGCGAACGCCGCTTCCTGAGTTCCTCACTAGAGGAAATTATATTGAGAGCGTGGTGTCTTGTTGGCTCCTTCTTGGCCACCCGCTTCCTAAGCTGCCCACTGCTCAGTCCAGGGTAGAATGGTCCATGGGGCCAGGGCAGTTATGGTTTTCCTCCTGGGCTATGGAATTATTGCAACATTTCTGAAAGAAGGAGTCCCCCTCTGTGTGGGTGGGTGGTATGTGGCAGGTACTGGACCTGGTTGCAAGCCCAACCCATAGGATACACTCTTGCCATGAGGGTGCCTCCCGAGGCTGGTTGATGCAGTTTCAGATGGATTAAGGATAAACAGAAGAGCACAGTCAGTGCTCTGGGACACGGGCGGCACTGGGTGGTGGAGGGAGCACGAGTTTTGACCTGCTCTAAGTGGCTGACATTTCTGAAGCATGTATACTTTACCTCTAAAAGATCATAGCGATCAAAAGACATTTTTTTTTTATTAATCAATATTTTTTATTATGGTTTTGTGGGGTACAGTTAAGGGTTAGGTGTACAATTACATTTCATTCAGGCACCCTGTTGATAAGAAGTGTTTTCCCATCCCCAGACAGATATTTGCTACTGTTAATCCCATCCCCCTCCCCCTCATAGTTTCCCAGTACCGTCAGTCAATTTCTTATAGTATTACATTGGATGTTCAACGTCCATTATATGAGTGAGAACATGTGATACTCGGATCTTTGTTTCTGTAAGAGGTTACTCAGTATTATAGACTCTAGTTCCATCCAGGTTGCTGCGAAGTTCTTTTTTGTTCTTTTTTATGGCTGTGTAGTATTCCATCGTGTATATGTACCACATTTTTTAAATCCAGTTCTCTTTTGATGGGCAGCATGGTTGTTTCCAGGTTCTTGCTATTGTGAACAAGGCTGCAATAAACATACGTGTGCAGGTATCTTTTTTATAGAGTGATTTGAGTTCTTCAGGGTATATTCCCAGCAGGGGGATTGCGGGATCATATGGAAGGTCGATTTTTAGAGCTTTTAGGAATCGCCACACTGCTTTCCACAGAGGTTGCATTAGTTTACACTCCCACCAACAGTGTAGAAGTGTTCCCTTTTCACCACACCC